CCCCAACCCCATATTGTCTTTGAGCATAGCACTGTTTTAATTAAATAATTAAAACAAGGTACCTCCTGGGGCATCTCCTGGGGAAGCCACAGCTCCTGTGAAGGCCTCACTGCCCTCGCCTCCTCGGGACTCAGCAGAAAGAAGATTTAAGCTACCTGATAGGATTTTCTCAGCTTTAAGTTTTTTCTCCCTGGAAGATTTCTTACACCCTCATTACCAGCTATTGCTTATTCACTCTAGAATTTTTTATAACACAAAATTGCTGGTATGGGGGCTTTACTCTACCCTGCAAATAGGACCTACACCGAGGTCAAACCTGGTGGGGACTGGAGTAGGGTCCCACTCGCTGGCCACTTGCCTCCTATGTCACTCTGCCTGCTAACAGTCCTCCCAGGATTTGGGGAGAGGCTGCCAAACATGGTGTGAGGGCAGGCAGCAGGGGAGGAAGGATGGGATGACAATGTAGGACCAGTGATTATACATCAGGGCCTTCATTGATTAGCCACCCTGAAATCACTACATGCTCTCTTCACTCTGTTTCTTATATATATGATTTGGCTATTTTTACTGCAAAAATAAATATCTGCACATGATAAAACATAAGGTGTAATGGAAGACATATGCGTACTTATATGTATCTCTCCCTTCTACCCCAATTGCTAATTCCTTCATCTCCCTCCCTAGAAGCAAACACAAGTACATACACTCGGGCATGTGCACACGCACATATATGTTTGTGTGTGTGTGTGTGTATCCATTTTTACACAAACAGACGCACAATATACCTACTTTTGCTCCTGGCTTTTTAAAAGTAGTCGTTAATGTATAGCATTTAGAGGTCAGCCTCCCAGAACCAGAGGAGGGTAGAGAAGGGTAGAAGGTATACCTGGAGGGAAAACGGGGACTATCTAGCACACCAAGGAGGCAACAAGGGGAATAGCAGGGATGCAGCCCTGCTACCCCTCTAGCCCACTTCTTACTAGCAAAACGTGCTGAGGTGCCTCTCGTCATAAATCATGGTCAGACTCTGATGACAGGAGAGCTCATGGCTGTTTAAAAGTTCAGAAGACCACCTGCTGCCACCCTATTCCTACCTCTGACCCCCAGCCCCCTCAGGCCAGAAGATGCCAATCTGTGGCCACTGCTCAAAGCTTCATGAGCCATTTCCTGAAGGACACTGGCACCAGCTTTGGTAGGATGGTACTAATATGACCTAAATTTCATCCCCTCCCCAGAGAATCGGAGAATTGGCGAGTAGCTCATGAAGATTCTGGTGGCACTGCTGTCGTTAAAATCCTCACTAAGCTAGGAGCACTCTTTTTGGTTGTTTGTTTTAATTCTTAGCTGTTACTTCCTGCCCCCCTCCACCCCGCCAAACATTGTTCCCTGTAAGTCTCGCTCCAAATTTCTATTCCAAGTGACCCCATCCCTTTTCAGTTCAAAAAGCTCAGAGGAGGTAAAACTTAAATAATAATAGTAAAGAATAAATAATAGTTGCCATTTATTTTCATTTCCTCTGTATGATGCAGTAACTTTTAGAGATACAGAAACTGAGGCTTGGATAGTTAAGTAATTTCTCTAAGATCACACAGTTAATAAGTGGCATACCTGGGTCTCACACCTTGGCTGTCTGCCCTCTGCTACCTCAGAGACCAAGAAGCAAAATGAGGGGCCATGTGGCCGCAGCCTTCTTCCTGCCAACTCACACCTGAGTCTATATCTTCTGAGACCAGATTTGGGTTGGAGAATGCCCAGCTCTTTATGAAGATTGGCCAGGTGTACCAACAGCTGTTGCTGACAACGCTGAACAAAGCACAAATATGCCATACCCCACTGGTTAGAGGGAGGTGGAGTGTCCAATTCACAGAAAGAAGATTGGTTTGGGGGTCAGAGTGGCTAGAGGAATGTATCCTAGCTCCACCCTTTTTAAGCTGTGTGATGTTGGGTCACTTACTAAATCTCTCTGAGCCCTAGTCTGCTCATCTGAGAATAAAGCCAGTAAGAGCACCTGTGTCACATAATGTTTCCATAATGATTAGGTAAGATAATGTGGATAAAGCCGTTGGCATATCACCTGCAAGGTATTGGTTTGCTTTCCATTTCTCTTTCAAGAGGGGCAAGCTCCAGGCCCTCTTCTGGGCATTGGAAGAATCACAACATCTGCTAGTGATGAAGGCAAAGCTACAAGGCCCTCCCAGGAGGAGTGGCAGGAGCATTCCCGAACATAGAACAGAGACAAGGACCCTCCTCAATTCACATTGTCCACAATGACCATATCCTTACTGGTCCTCTTCCCATCTCACTGCTGGCCGTGGCTGGAATTCCTTGAAAAATCAAATGCCTGTCTCATATTCAGCCACCACCTGCCCCATATCCTGGATTCAAAATGGAGACCTGGCATTCTCAGCAAAGAAGGCTTCCTCCATTCAGTGCGTTCAGCAATCCTCTCAGGCCTCCACTCCACAGGCCCCTTCCTGGGGCTGCATCCCTCCCACAAGCTTCTGGCTCATTGCTCGGTGACACTCGCCCCAGCCTCCCAGGCTGCATTCCTCCATGGCACTTAGCATAGCATATGGAAGGGATCATCTGTCTGTCTAGACCTGTGTTTGGCAAACTATAGCTCTCGAGCCACATGCGCCTCTTTGGCCCCTTGAGTGTGGCTCTTCCTAAGCCTTAGGAGTACCCTAATTAAGTTAATAACAATGTACCTACCTATATAGTTTAAGTTTAAAAAATTTGGCTCTCAAAAGAAATTTCAATCATTGTACTGTTGATATTTGACTCTGTTGACTAATGAGTTTGCCGACCACTGGCTGTGAGCTCCTTCAGGGGCAGACACGTGTCATGCCTCTTCACAGTCCCAGTGTCTGGCATGTAATCATTGATTTTTTTTAAGTGAACTGTGAGCAACACAAAGCTACATGAGACCTCCTACCCTCAGTGAGCTGACAACATAGCAATCAGGACCTGTGTGCTAACTACACAAAACAGACAAAAGTAAAGAGTTGTGAGGCACAAAGGAAGACAGAGTTGCTTCTGAATAACAAACTCAAGTAATCCTCCTGGATGAGGCAGCATGTGAACTGGGGCACCTTGAGGGTATAGGTGGGACCGGGAATCCCTGCTCCTCCAAGCTCCATGTGGATCAAAGTGTGCAGATACCACATGTGGTTTGGGGCCATATTTTGTGCTCCCCATTGAGGTCTCATATTTGGCAAACTGCTTTGCTTTCTCCTTTTCTGTCACAGGAGACCCCAGTGTCTGCTCCATCTCCAACCCTGATTTTGTCATCTACTCTTCAGTGGTGTCCTTCTATCTGCCCTTCGGAGTGACTGTCCTCGTCTATGCGAGGATCTATGTGGTACTGAGACAGAGGAGACGGAAGCGGATTCTCACTCGACAGAACAGTCAGTGCATCAGTGTCAGGCCCAGCTTCCCCCAACACGTAAGCATGTGGGTGGGGCAGAGGGAGGACAGCACCCAACTCCATGGCCTCCCAGCCTTGTGTCCAGCAGTGAATGTTTTTGCCTGAACTGCCACTTTGGAGACACACATCTGACCCCCACCTTCTAATCTGCTGGTATTGGCTCTGCTTTAGAGATAGTAAATTCAATCCAAAAAGTTCATTGATAGTCTTTCCTAGAGCACATCTTACTTGGGAAGATGATAGGATAGTTTCTAAACATGTTCTGCTTCCCTTCAAAGTCTTTCATTGTCCCCAAATGGCCAGAAGTTCGGATGTCACACAGGGTTCAAAGTTTTAGTGTGACAATTGCATCATGCACTTCTAGAAGGTTCCCGAGATGGACTTTCTGGCCAGACCACTCATTCCAAAAATTATTAGGGTCCATCAAAGTCTCCTTTCTTTACTATGTCAGTCCCTGTATCCAGGCATTGACAAGCTAGTAGACTGGGATGCTGATGATGCATTTTTGGGGTCTTGTTAGGCTCTGACAAGCAAGATTGTTGCCTCAACACTGATCTTCCAATTTCTGGGGTTTTAAGTTCTGCTTAGCCCAGTGCCCAGTGTCATAGTAGTTTACCCACAATGTACCTAAAGCATGAATGGAGACATACCAAACACTTGAAATCTTATAGGGAAGGGACGGCAGGAACATTATACAGCCTCCGCCTTCATGGAGCTTGGACTCTAAAGAAGCAAATAAGCACACCTCCACCCAAAGTTAATGAGCAGCCCAAAAGTGAGTGAGATGTTTGCCAAATGTTAAGTGAAGACAATTGAGCCCTCAAATATTGAATGCCTTTGAAGTTATGAGAAGAAAGATCAATATGCTCAGGAAAGAGGTTCAGAGACAGAATAAGAACTGAATTTGATCTTTAAGGCATTTGGATGTCTAGATCAATCTGAGTGGAGGTCAAACTCTCAACGTTGAAGTCCCAAGGCTTGAGTAGAACAAGAATATTGGTCCTCATGAAATAGGAGGTCAGCACTGGAGAATGAGTATATGAACATACTGTATTTAAACCATTGTCATCTATATGGTTCAACTGTGTAGAGTTTAACCTACAACTATTTCTCCTTCAACCTACCCTAGTCTTCCTGTCTTCGGCTGCACCCCATTCGGCAATTTTCACTAAGGGCCAGATTTCCATCAGATGCCACAGGGAAAATGGTAAGTAAACCACACCTTTAATTACAGGGAAAGAATAAGAGATATTTTCTCAAAGATCCTGGCTTGACTTGATTCCACTTCCATTCCAAAATAGAATCTAGCCCAGGGGTGGGCAAACTTTTTGACTCAAGGGCCACAATGGGTTCTTAAACTGGACCGGAGGGCCAGAACAAAAGCATGGATGGAGTATTTCTGTGAAATAATATAAATTCAAAGTAAACATCATTAGATAAAAGGGTACGGTCTTTTTTTTCAATAGTTTTATTCATTGCAAACGGGCCGGATTCGGCCCGCGGGCCATAGTTTGCCCACGGCTGATCTAGCCCAATCCCACACTTGTATCTACAATATAGAACAGATCTGAGATCCTGCCTGATTTGAGCTTCAGAGTAAGAATCAGCAAATGACACTCAAAAAGCATATGGCTATTGGGTGAGATCCCAATGACTGGAGTCAAAGACTCTTGGAAAGAAAATAGGATTCCACCGAGTCTCCTATCTACCTACTCCAGGACTTCTGTGAGGATCAAATGAGATGAGTCACTGGAAAACGCTTCACAGACATTTGGTTAAAGTGTAAAATGTTTGCACCTGGCTATAACGCAAGTTGTGTTCCTGGGCTGAAGAAATTTCAAGGAGGCTAGTAGTCGCTAGGGAGAGGAAGCCGGGCATTGCTACGTGACATCATTACCTGGCGCCGACAGCCACTATTTCCAGGCTGGGCTGGGCTGTGTGCTGCATTTTGCCCCATGGGGTTTCGGCAGCATCGGCTGTGATTTGGTATGGTGCCGCTCTAGCATGATTGCAGAGCCTGTGCCCCACTTTAGAGAAGCCGAGCGTTGCTTTCCATGGTGCCGTTTATTGTTAAATGGCCTGTTGCTAGGGAGAGGAAGCCGGGCATTACTATGTGACATCATTACCTGGTGTCCACAGCCACTGTTTCCAGGCTGGGCTCATAGCCAATCTTATTTCATCTATACCCCCACTTACATTCACATAAACTCATTGGATTGTTATGAAGCATTTCAAAATACTTTGTAAGACTCTCTAAAAATATTTTGTAAAAAAAAAAAAAAATTGCGCCATGGGTCTTGGCAGTGTCAACTGCGATTTGGCGGGCTGTCACCCTAGGGTGGTGGCGGGGCCTGTGTCCCACTTGGGGGAAGCCGAGTGTTGCTTTGTTGGCGTCAGGTCTGTGGTGCCGTTTCTCTGTACATGGCCAGTGCACATCACCACAGCTCCTATGTTGAGCGTTTGTCCCCTGGTGGCCAGTGCACATCATGGAGACAGGTTGGACAGTCGGGCACTTAGCATATTAGCCTTTTCTATATATAGGTATCCAATATACAAATTTTTCTCAATTGTCTCATAAATGTTTTATAGTTGATTTATTTGAATCAAAATTCAAGTAAGATCCATATTTTGCAACTGGTAAATGTTATTGTTGTCATCATTGCAATTTATTTGTTGAAGAAACTGAGTAGTTTGTTCAGATTTTGTTGCTTACATCCCGGTGGTGTCAGTTAACATGTTCCGCTGTATATCCTAGCCATTCTAACATAAAAAGGCCAGGCTATAATCCTGTGCTCTCCCCCTCCAGGGATGACTGTGATTCTCACTTGTTGTACATGTGGCAGGTTCTTTTAAGTGTAGAGTCAGAAGCAGATTTCATTAACCTTAGCTTTCCATGGTCCAATCATTCTCAGATGCGCCCTCTGAAGGTTTTGTGTGTGTGTCTGTGTGTGGGAATGTGTGTGGCTGAGGGTTGTGTGTGTGTGTGTGTGTGGGAGTGTGTGTGGGAGTGTGTGTGTGTGTGTGTGTGTGTGTGTGTGTGTGTGTGTTCCAATAAATTTTTATTCACCAAAACAAGTAGCGGGCCAAATTTGACCTGCAGGCTATATAGCCTGTCAATGCCTGGCCTTTATAAATCAAAGGGAAAAAATTATTGCAATATTATTGATCAGATCATGGAAATGTGTGGGGAAAAGATATATTAGCAATATTTGCATCATAAATTGATTATCTGACGATAACACATTTTTTCTTTTTTTCGTTTTTCTTTATCAATTAAAGTATTACATATATGTCCTTATCCCCCCATTGCCCCCCATGCCCCCCCAATCATGCCCTCACACCCATAATGCTCTCCAGTTCCATCCATGCCATTGCAACAGTATGGATGGAACTGGAGAGTATTATGCTAAACGAAACAAGCCAATCAGAGAAAGATAAATATCACATGATCTCACTCATTTGTGGAATATAATGAACAACATAAACTAATGAACAAAAACAGATCCAGAGACAGGGAAGCATCTATCAGACCATCAAACCTCAGAGGGAAAGCGCGTGGGGGTGGGGGTAAGGAGGAGAGATCAACCAAAGGACTTGTATGCATGCATATAAGGTTTTACACAATGATGGATTCCCCTTCCTTCGTTGCCTCCTCTTTTTCTTTCAGGGGCATTCAGAAGATAAGCAATATCCCCAGAAATGTCAAGACCCCCTCTTGTCACACCTGCAGCCCCTCTCCCCTGGCCGGGCACACATGGCGCTGAGGCGTTACTATAGCATCTGCCAAGATACAGCCTTCGGGCCACCAGGCTTCCAAGAAGGAGGAGGAGAGTTGAAAAAGGACGCGAGCCCTCGGAACTCCCTCAGCCCCACCATGGCACCCAAGCTCAGCTTAGAGGTTCGAAAACTCAGTAACTGCAGGTTGTCAACATCCCTGAAACTGGGGCCCTTGCAACCTCGGGGAGTGCCACTTCGGGAGAAGAAGGCAACCCAGATGCTGGTCATTGTGCTTGGTGAGTTTGGATCAGGTTGAGCTGAGCTGAGTTAGGCTGAGTTGGGTTAGGTTGAGTTTAGTGCAGCTGGCAGAGGGTTAAGGTAACCACATTTGACAGAATGGGAAATCCAATGATAGTTATATTTATAAATGTTTATCATATGACTGAAAAGGGTTTGTGTATAAACGTTAACTGGTGGAAATTGCAAGACCTAGACCAAAATTTATGAAATATGAAACTTAGCAGGTCACCTTATCAGGCTGCGCTTATCCATTGTGTTTGTTGTCTATCACATGGACTTACAATAATAGATAAATTAAATAATAAGTAAGATAATGATTAAGTAAAAGTGTGTGGTATTTACCAGATATTTAACAAATGCTTACTCTAAAATATTAAGTAAAAACAATAGGGATGCAAAAAACGATGGTTGTGTGGTATGATAAAATCTAGATTATATGAAATACAGAGAGAGAAAAAACCCTGAAAATTAATTCACCAAGATGTCAAAAGTGATTGACTTTGGTGGTGGGTATTTTTCTTCTTTCTACTTTTCTGTATTTACCAAATTTTCCATAATATATAAAATCAGAGCTAGTTTTTATAGTAAAAAAAATAACTTATTAAATAAATGTTTATTTATTTAAATTTAAAAAATTGAGAAATCACAGGTACCACATAGAGTGGAAGTCATTCATCCTCTTGATTATCACCGACAAACCACGCCTCCTTATGCCTCAGGGATGTAATGAGAACCCCTAGAAGTAATCTAAGGGTCTTCTTTCTTGTCAGTGCCTAACATCAAGTCTTGATGGATAGATATTAACTAAATATTTGGTTTAAATTAACAAGTAGAAAAAACTAGTAAAGAACTACCTAAAAATCAAACTAGAAAATTGATTTAGGAACAAAGGCCTAAGATAAATCAAAGATATTTTGATGTTTTCTCATCAAAAAAAAAGAAAAAGTGGCTAATCACACCTACTTCACAGGGTTGGTTTAAAAATTAAATGGGTATGTAAAACTTCCTGCATGGTAACTGGCATAAAGGAAACAAGCATGAGTCATTTTCATGTTATAACAAATCAAGTATGAAAACCTGTGACCCAGTTTTTCTCTCCCTTTGCGACCTAGGGACCTTCATTGTCTGCTGGCTGCCCTTCTTTTTGACCCACGTCCTTAATACCCACTGCCCAGCATGCCACGTGTCTCAGGGGCTTTACAGAGCCACAACATGGCTGGGCTACATGAACAGCGCCCTCAACCCTGTGATCTATACCACCTTCAACATTGAGTTCCGTAAAGCCTTCCTCAAGATCCTGTCTTGTTGAAGGAGAGGAGAGAACACCTCCTATGTCCACCTTTAGCTGCCATGCCACTGGGCCACTGGCCAAGGCCTGCTCCTAAAGACTCTGCCATGACCTCTGGCATGTCATAGGAAGAAGATTGCTGGAGCCAGGATGTCTCTGAGTGGCACATGCAATCAACTGCTTCCTGCAAAACAGAATGGTCTACCTCCCCAGCTAAAATCTGACTTCGTCTTGGTAATCTTCAAATGGTTGGAAGGCCCCTGAGTGATAAGCAATAATTCAGAAAGAAGCTGATAAAACGTGACTCTACGCATACACATAATTATCATCAGAGGCATGATCCATTACAGTGAAGGAAAAATGAACAGATCTCATAATTCTCAACTTGCCAGGAGTCCTTGAAATGTCAGCCAGTGAGCCATCTTCCAGAACAGACAGCCTTCCTTCCTTCAAACCTCTAATTCACTGTCAGGCTAACCTTGTACTGATATGAGCCCACTCCTTTTTGGTTATTCCTTTCATTCATTGTATCCTGAAATATAATGGCAAGGCCAATGCTGCTACCTCTTTATGGGATCTGTAGAGACATCACTCACCCTGAAGGAGACATTGTCCCACATTGGGATTTAAGCTTCATTTCAAACCTCGATGACCCTGTATTTTAGCTCTAGCTGTGAGATCCTTTGATCCCATCCCCTTACACTCAAAGAGTCTCAACACCAGAGTAATTCAAGATGGGGGTGTTAAGTGAAAAAGGAATGACAATCCCACTGTAGTATTGTTCTTGAACCTTGTGGTTCAGAACATGCCTTAGATATGCTTTTCATAATGCTACAAGGTTTTCTTCCTCAGTCATCTCCATCTCCTGTGTAACAGAGACCCAGTACTTTCAGACTCTAAGACTCATTAAGTATTAAGTGTCTGCAAAGTGCCTGTTACCTCCCAGGTTCTGCATATATGACAATGAATAATACAGATCTTGTCCTCAAGGAGTTTGCCACCTGCTCCTGTGTTTGCCCATTTACTTGTAGAAGAGGCTAGGGACTCGCCTAGACCACAGAGAACCTCAGAACTGAGGCACCAGGCAGGGAAGCTGTCCAAAACTATCACATGGACAGTCTTTGTAAAGCCCTAACACAGATCCTAAACATCACCATTCCAACAACTGAGATTAAAGGTATCCTATATAATAAAAGGCTAATATGCAAATCAACTGAATGGCAGAACGACCAGTCGCTCTGATGTGCATTGACCACCAGGGGGCAGATGCTCAGCACAGGAGCTGCCCCCTGGTGGTCAGTCTGCTCCCACAGGGGGAGCACTGCTCAGCCAGAAACTGAGCTCACAACTGGCGAGCGCAACAGCGGTGGCAGGAGCCTCCCCTGCCTCTGTGGCAGCGCTAAGGATGTCTGACTTCCCACAGGGAGCAGGCCTAAGCCATCAGTTGGACATCCTCCGAGGGCTCCCAGACTGTGAGAGGGTGCAGGCCGGACTAAGGGAACGCCCCCTACCCCCGCCCCGAGTGCACAAATTTCGTGCACCGGGCCTCTAGTATAGAAATAATGTGTAAATGTCATTCAAATTGCGTTTAGAAGGAACTTGAATATTCTCATCATTTACCTTTTCACCTTTAGAAGCTATTATTGATTACAGAATTAACATATAATTTGTAGATAATTTATGAAATATTATCATCCCAAACCTCAAAAAAATTATTGTTAGTATTAGTGCATAGGCATGACATACCTGCTGCAATGCTGTTAAACTTTAAAGTGCACCAGAAATTTACAAGGTCTCCAAGGCTTCCCTTTCCCCTTTCCTCTAGCCCTTAAGTGTACAATTCAGCAGAAGGTGAGTCAGTTACCTGTTACTCCTGAATGCTTTTAATGCCAGCATTTTTAAATTTTATTCTCTATAACAATGTGTGTATTGTAACTCAGTAAGCTATTCTGACTTGTGCTAGTTCTTGTACCTTGTGCCATTTAACTCCGGTTTATGGTGCAAGCAGAACTGGGGACTGAAACGATTAAATATCTGAAGAAATAAAAGTACATGATTCCTAAGTTTTTCCACATAAAATCAACAGCAAACAGGTTGGACAATGGGGTAGAAGATCACAGAATTCCATGTCAAAATCAGAGTTCTAGGATAGAAACATAAACAGCATTAATACTAATAGATTTGTGAGGGATTATAGCAAATATTTATATCCTCTTTCTGCATCAAGTCATACAACCCTAGTGATAACCTTAGCAAGATAAACTCCATCTGCAGACTGAGGCAGAGGAAAGTTAAGAAATTTGCCCCAAGTCACACACAGTAAGTGACAGAGCTGGGACTCAAATATATTTCTATCCAATTCCTGAGCCCATACAATTAACCACTTCCTCCCACCATAGAGATAAAGGGATGGGAAGAAACAGGTGGGAAGGAAAAGATGGAACAGGATCCCTGGGAGAGCCTCGCTTTATTCCATCCGCCTCCACCTCTAGGCTTTCCTGAGAACACAGCCCAAGGGCTTACTCTCCCTCTCATGCCAAGTTCTGAAACAGTCAACGGGGAAATCCATAATCTTTTTTTTTAAATATGTTTTTATTGATTTCCTAGGGAGAGGGAGAGAAACATCAATGATGAGAGGGAATCACTGATCAGCTGCCTTCTGCATACCCCTTACTGGGGATCGAGCCTGAAACACAGGCCTCTGCCCTGACTGGAAATCGAACCCGGACCTCCTGGTTCATAGGTCGATGCTCAACCACGGAGCCATGCCAGCTGGGCCATAATCCAGTTTTATAAAATCATGGGACAGTCCTTAGAGAACATTTGGTTTCACCCTGTCCTTCATTTACAGAAAAGGAAATTGAGGCCTAAAACTGTTGTCCCATGTTGGTTAATGGAAAACACTCAAATCTGCTGAATCCTAGTTCAGTGGTCTTCCCCAGGAGCCCTATAAAAACTATGAATGCCATACAGGTAGAAGAAGAAAGTCATATTGTCACCTCCACTGTAAACTGAGAGGAACTTTTTCCCTAATTCCCAGTGGCAATTAGGAGACAACATTGCCTCCCTAGAATTTCCTTCTCATCTAGGAAGCCTCCTGGGGAATCCTAAGCACTCACTTCAACCTCTTCATTCTAGGATTCTGCATTCTACCTCCTCTACTGCTACAGTTCCTACATGATCCAGCAAACTTAACCTCAGAGCTCACTGCTTTCAGAGCCAACAAGGCCAAAAATCCTAGGAGAGATGTTGGCCTGATAAAGCAGAACAGAGTTCTTTGGGCAAACCAAGTCTGGGGCCAAATGTAGCCTCATATCTGCCTATACCACTTGGGTGAAATGCAACTAGTATGTAAATCCAAATAGATTACAACCAATAATCAATTTGAGACCTTAAGTAAATATTTCCTTCTTCTAAGACACCATGCTCCAAAACTCCAGTCCTTAATTCATTTATTAAATCAATCACAAATGTGGATTGATTGCCTTCTGTGTCCCAGGTACAAAACTTGGTGCTAGGAAACATGATTGAAGAAGAAATAGTCCTGCCAGGCTGTCATGGCTCAGTGATTGAGCATTGACCCATGAACCCAGAGGTCATGGTTTGATTCCCAGTCAGGGTACATGCTTGGGTTATAGGTTCAATTCCCCATTTGGGGGCATGCAAGAGGCAGTCAATCAATGATTCTCATCATTGATGTTTCTATCTCTCTCTCCCTGTCCTTTCCTCTCTGAAATCAATAAAAATATCCTATATAATAAAAGCCTAATATGCAAATTGTCCCCTCTACTGGGAGTTCGACCCAGAGTTCAACCACTCACTATGATGTGCGCTGACCACCAGGGGCCGGCATGAAACATGGCGAGCGTCAGTGATGGGGTGCTGGCAGCAGACAGCAGTGGAGGTGCTGCCGGCCCTAATGGAACTCTGATGGGACCACGGCAGGGTGGTGAGCAGGTGAGCAGGCAGTACTAGGCCAAGGCGGATGCAAGCAGGGCCAATCGCCCTACCAATTGCCCTGTAGGCAGCAACCAGCATCCATTACTGAGAAAGGGCAAATAGCAACATTAAAATATTTATTCTAATTGTTTTCCTTTCAATGTGCATGAATCCGTGCACCAGGCCACAAATATATATATATCTCCTTGCCCCCAGAAGCTTGTAGTCCAGGAGTTAAGGTGTCAGGGGGTGGGGGGTGGCGGCAGAATTCATGTGCATGGTGGTGACCCACTTGTTGTCTATAATAAAAGGAGTTGATGGTGTTTGGAAATCTCATACTCAGCCTTGAGTTGGCTTCCCAGACAAGAATTGTTGGGATTGCCGAAACCGGTTTGGCTCAGTGGATGGAGCGTCGGCCTGCGGACTGAAGGGTCCCAGGTTCGATTCCGGTCAAGGGCATGTGCCTGGGCTGCGGGCGCATCCCCAGTGGTGGGTGTGCAGGAGGCGGCTGGTCGATGTTTCTCTCTCATCGATGTTTCCAACTCTCTATCTCTCTCCCTTCCTCTCTGTGGGAAATCAATAAAATATATTTTTTTAAAAAAAAGAATTGTTGGGATTGAGACATCATTAAAAGTAAGAGGGGTATTCCAGGCATAGGAAAACCTCTGACAAGCTAAAGATAAAACAAGCAAGGAGCATCCAAGGAATCTCAAGCCCATCTGGCCACAGAGAAGGGATCCCAGGGACAGGACAGGAAAGGAAAAGGCCTCATCTTTGGAGCCTTCCTCCAGTTTTGCTCAGGTGTCAACGGAGCTGGTGGTGACACCTCTCACAAAAGACTTTCAGAACTTTCCTCCCGCTTCCCTCCATGTGGGCAACATACATCATAGAACAACCATCACTGACTTACTTAACAGTGGTCTTCCTGAGCTACAGTGAATTTCAACAAATGCAGAATTCAACTTCAATTACTTCTTGTTTTCTCTACCAGAGGGGAAATGGCTACTTGAATGAATGTAGAATTATAGATGGTTAATTTTAAGGCAGTTCTGAGAGTTTGGATCTGAAATCAATAGAGGTCAAGCAAAAAGATTTGTTTTTCCTGAAAGTGTGGGTCAGAACTAAGCAGAGAAGTAAAAACGTTAAAGGATTCGCTCAGAACTGGCTGTTTCCTGGAGGTCCTGACTCCCAGGCCTGTGCTTTGGTCCTTTAGTCTCTGCTGACATCAGAAAACTGAAAAAGCTTAATTTGAATCAACACACAGAGAGCAGAGAGGGGATGACAGGCAATTAACTTGATGCCTCCTTTCTACCTAATTCTCTCCTCCTCAGGAAGGGAGTGAGTTTCCATGACTACCTCCTGACACAGAGACTCGGTTGAGGGTGATGCTGGTGTCAGCTCAGCTCTTTATCACACACTGGCAGAGGCAGAACCTGGGAGTCTGTCCAAGCACAAGATCTGGGACTTCTTGCTCCACCCACCCTCACCTCAATTAATCACCCAGTCACCCTAATTGTGCATCAAGTTCCTGCTTGGTGCAGAGTCTGCTAGGTACTGGGAGGAGAGGAGAGCTGTATGCAGGCCTCTGAGGCTGGATGTGCCCCCAGGAGGGTGCTGTCCTGAACCACCTTATAAAAAAGACAATGGACAGAAATAAGTCAAAGGCTAGAGTTCTAGTGTTAGCATGGACAAGTGACCTTGAGCAAGTGTTTTAACCTCTGTGAACTTCAACTTTCTCATTAGTAAAATGGGAGACCTGAAGGCCTGGCTTTCCTCACTAAACCATTTGCAATTTAGATGGCCCTGCGGGCTACAGTGCTGGCCTGTGCACCAGAGGGTTGTGGGTTCAATTCCCAGTCAAGGGCCCGTACCTCCTGGTTGGGTGGCATGTGGAAGGCAAACAATCAATGTGTCTCTTTCATAATGATGTTTCTCTCTTTCTCCTCTCTCTCTTCCTCCTCTCCCCTCCGTCTTCCCCCTCCCTTCCACTTTCTCTAAAAAAAAGTCAATGGAAAAACATATTCTCACTCCTTGGGTGAGGATTAAAAAAATAATAATAACAAAATTTAGATAAATCATGTAGTAGAAGTGCTATGTCAGCCATCGAACTCTACTTACACATGTAAGAGATAATAATTATAATTGATATTAGTATTAACATTAGTATTATTTCCCCCCCAAGCAGTTGTTTCTATCATACCTATCTGGTTCACAGCCCACCTTCCTTTCTCTTTGCTAATTTTCTAATTGTCTCAAGTTATTAGGTGCAGTCTGTTCAGCCT